TCGCGTGCACGTGTAGCTGGATACGAACAGGTGGAATTTACGCAGCTCATTTACACACTTTTCCTGAAGATAGAAGAGTTTGTTGAATCTGACGTGACATGTTCTTGTATCTGAGGCAGGAAACATAGCCTTATATGGTGTTTTTGAGGTGGTAATTATGCTAATCTCCTCTCGTGTGCACGTGTAGCTGGATACAAACAGGTGTAATTTACGCAGCTCATTTACACACTTTTCAGGAAGATAGAAGAGTTTGTTGAATCTGACGTGACATGTTCGTACAAACCCTTCATACGAATAAAAGTAAGAGAAATTTAGGATWAGAATACGAACATGTTCTTGCATGAGGCCCAATGTAACTACAGTAGAACAAAAACTGTACATACACTTTTTACTGCTAAAGTAGCAGTGATCCAGAAAGAAGTGGTCAAAGAAAATGGATGGATGGATGGATGGATTGATAGATGGATAGCTACATATTGATGTTGTGTTTGCAGATACCCAAACAGTGAGCATGTTCAGTCTGTACTAACTTGATGTCAMTGCTCGTCCTGCAGGAGGTCGTTCGTCAGAAAGTGCGCCGGCAGCTCAGCAAAGAGCAGAAGTCAGCACAGAGGAGGCGTCTGCAGAAAGGAGAGGCCAACTTGGTGACCAAATCCAGAAGAGAGAACCGAACCACCATCAAGTCCAGCATTGAGAGCGCCTCCTTCTGGGAATAAGTTGTAACGTCGGGTGGACTATTGATGGACAAAGAATTMATGTCAACAAGCTTTTGATTCATCTCCTGTGAATAATTTAACTACATCATGGATGGGAAAAAAAACTATCAGGAGAATCACTGACACTAATCTGTTTCCCACTGTTGTGGAGAAATCAAAGAGGACTGACAAAAGTAATTCACCTGATTGTATTTCTACTTTTTTCTGTTGAAACATACCCTCCATGAAACTTGTGGTCTGTTTTATAAAAAGTCCAGTTAAATTATTGACCACTTATTATATTAAAGGGGTGTTATTTACAGTGTAGTCAAACTGACTGCTGAGCTGTGTTGTCTGTTAAAGTAATGGGATTAAWTGGAAARATCTATAAAATATTTCACGTTATTRCACTTATAAAACTAACAATACTTGCTAGTAGTAAAACTTATTTTAATTATTTATTAAACACAAAATTTTGATATGACTATAGTAAACAAAGATTGTAAATAGAGTGTTTTTCTCAAAGTTAATGTTCTGCTTGGATATTTGGCAATGAATAGTAAATCTTTAATACAAAACTATTGGACTTAAAAAATGTAATTTTTAAGATGCAATAAATGYACCTGCAATGTAAATATAAAATCTGACACGAGGCGAAAATCAGGAGAGTTTAGCAGCTCAGGAACCACTTTTTYCTCAGAATTTGCTTAATTTATGTGTAAAGTTTTAAGAAAAGGGGTTGAATTCCCACTTGAACAAAAGCCATTCACAATGAAGAGGCTGAATGGAGCTCAGACCCCAGACTTAGTTTAAATTTGAGTGTGAAGTCAAAAAAAATCCCTCCCCCCACATATCCTAGTTCCCACTTGGATGCCAGAGATGCCAGATATTACTGTTTAATTTGAGAAATCAAATGGATTAATCATATTTTTTTTGTTTTCTAAAGCAAAAGAATAGTGATTTCTGGTTCACTTGGCAACTTTGTGGAGGTCTTAAACTGTCCAGCTCTGTTCAGGGATTAGCCAGCTGCACAGCCAGAGGGGAGGGGCTCTGCATTCCAGCTCCACACCTCTGTTTGTGTGCATGTGCTGAGGGAGCGAGGGGCCCTCTGAGCTAATTGGCAGGGAGAGTGACAAAGGTGGTCTGCTTCAAAAGAGAAACCCTGTTGAGATGCTCACACTGCCGTGGAGGAGGAAGGGAGTGACGAAGTTTGAGAGTGGTGCAGACGCCTTCGTGCTTCGGACTTTACCCCTCCATCCTGAGCTGGGATAGTGGTGGGGGCTGCTAATTATCAAGAGTTTTGTTTTGGTGGCAGCACAGCACACAACTTGGGATGAAGATGARTTGTGAGGAGAGCATCATGTCATACCTATCACACAGTGAGGCTCACACCAGCCCTAAAGACTGTAAGTTGCTTTAAAATTACATTTGATTTTAGTTTTAAAAAAACATATTTGTTTTGATTTTGTGGGACTCTGGGGTGTTGACCTTTAAATTACTCACATATGTCTAAGTTATCCTTTCTACCACAAGTTGCATTGCTGTAATTTTTAGCATAGAATGGGGGAATCAGATTAAGCTCAAATGCTGGAAATTTGTTGATCTGAATAAGTTCTGAGGCATCTCCTTCAGCTTCCATTTTTACATAAACACAAAGGAGTGTTGGCATGCCATATATTCTTTTGTGTATAAATATATAGGCTTAAATGAAAGGTTAGTATTTTGTACACCAACATCGTTAGTTGAAGTGTTTTCTCAGTGTGACATCCATGTATGCAGTGAATGTGGTGGCCATTCTCCATAACTTCTGGGAGCAGAAGCAGGCAGCTCAGCTCAGTGATCCACCTGGTGAATCAGACCRTTTTCATGGAAAGATCCAGACCGAAAGCCTTCTGCTGTACGAGTCTGCACCTTCTCCTGGTCCTCCATACATCTGCTACGTCACACTTCCTGGAGGAAGCTGCTTTGGCAACTATAAGGTGGGTTTGTTATCATCACTGCTGCTGGTTATTATCATTCCTTCGCTTGGTTGGTTTGCATGCTTCTATTGCAAAAAAATTAATTAAAAAAATGACTCAAAGTTGCTGCTGGTAATGTTACTTTTGGTGATCACCACCAATGAAACATCATTTATCCTGCTTGMTGCAAGATCAGCTCTAAATATTCTATTTTAAATATAAATCAGCTGCTAATCTGTTTGTAGTAAACATTTATCAGAAATAGCTTTGATCTAAAGGTTGATGAGCCATTTCATGAAGATATGGGAAGGAGACTCACCTGCCACCATGGAAAGAAAACTCACATTGGATTACGCAATCCTTCACAAACTGCTGGCATGCATTGAGAATGTATTGCTGTGGCCAATAAAAGGCCACAGTTGGCCCGCGGGCCGTAGTTTGGACACTTCTGGTGTAAAGAATGCTGATATGAAACAACTCGTCAACAGTGGATAAGCTACTCTGTTGGGYTCAGATGCTGGGTTTGTAAATCTGCTCTGTACCTCTCTACATCACTGGACAGAAGTGCTTCTTTTGGAAAATAAGAAACACTTTGTCAAGTCAAGATGGGGATGACAAATTCTTATTTTCAAGTGGATCTTTTATRTTTGACATAGCAGTTCATTTTGTGTGACAACTGTGACCCAAAGAGGAGCCACATCAGTTCAGAGAAGGTCTTGTGATTGGTTGTGTTTGAATGCCTCTAGTGTCCTCACTTCAWCAGCGATGTTTTCTGAATTAGCTGTTTTGACATGTAAAATCATCCAAAACTGGAAAAGTATGTTGCACATCCATTGACCCAGACATTTCTGTTTTTAAGTGATTGTAAATTTCCATCTTGTTCCCATCACGCTTTATTTTTCTTTTACATTTGAACCCCTTTTATCCACAGGTATGTGACACTCAAGCGGAGGCTCGCAGGGACGCTGCTCGTGTGGCTCTGATGAACTCGCTCGTGAACGAGCTGCCTTGTCGAAGAATCAGCTCGGACTTCATCACACAGAGTTTGAGCCAGGCTGTCAGAGAGAGYGCTGTGAGTGCGAGAAACTGCGAGTGTTTGTTAGCATGATCAGTCTCAAAAATGCTCATTAATCTGTGCTGCTGTCTGTGCAAAGGTCTCTTTGGACGATGCGTGTGATTCAAGCACCAGTATAGGAACCTACAATCTGCTGCTCCACTCCTACATGGGAAGGAGCATGCTGGAGTTCCAGGTGAAGCAGAAACTCATTGTGCAAAATGTTACTTTTTTTATGTCACAGTTTTGTCTTTTCTCTTGGGATTTTATAAATTGTACAAATAAACAGACCTAAAACTTTCTACTTGAATAAAAAGCAGTAATTCAAACAGTGAGTACAGCCTTTTAAAGTGCCTGTGACATTAAATTTTTTAACACATACGTATGCATTTTTTTAAAAGAGGACATTGATAAAATATTGCAAAGTGAATTTCATGTCACTGAGATGAACAATTGTTGAGATATTTGCCTGTGGAGTAACAGGAAGTGATGTCAAAGGGGAATGTCTGCATGTGAACAGTGTTGCTACAACAGCCAATAACCCAGACTGTAGAGAAGAATCAGATGTTTCTTAAGATTATTTTGAGTCACTATCAGAGAGAGGTGAAGAAGTGTCAGAATTCAAATAATGTTTCAATGAACAAAGACCAGAGAGTTTATTTTTGTTAGAGTTCCTCTTTGATGTCACTTCCTGTTTCACTTTGGCTAAGCCAAGTTCAAGWGAAAATATGCCAGTTATGGGACAAAATCCAACTTTCTTAAATATAAAGATGTTTTCTTTGAYTTTTTGTATTTGAAGGATATGCATGTCACAGGCACTTTAACAATTTCATCATGTTCCTAGTTTTCACCGACCTTCAGTATTAGACTATGACCAATATTTCTACCTTTGTGTTAAACATTCCTGCAGACAGGGGGTTAATAGTTGGAGGAAATGGACTCCTCCATCCAGCTACAACTTGTGAAAAATGGAGACCTGAGAAATGCACAGAAAACGCACACTATGTACACGCACATTCACTAGAATCTAGACCCCCTAAAACCAGCACAGTTTCAAACATGAGGTTTGCACCTTCGCCCATATTAATTTTCCATCTGTGTCTCATTAGATCGTTTCATGTTTAACGTGAATGTCACCAGCACAGGACAGCTGCTCCRGCAGGTTTATAATTTATAGTGAAACTTGAGTGAAATGTATGACTTGTGTCAACCCGGCATGGTTTTGCTTGAAATGTAAAATGTTGCCTTTGTATCAGTAACAGGTACTGACTCATTCACACGCTGATCTCTCTGTAGGAGATGATGACTGTTTTCCAGTTGTTGCACTGGAACGGGACACTGAAGGCTCTGAAGGAAAGGCAGTGCTCTCGACAGGTACAAATTTAAACTTTTATCAGGGTGAGGGAAGGGTGCCACGAGACCACAACTAAAACAACCCATTATGTACTCGCAGAAAAGAAACTGCATAAAAAATACTTCTCAGTAACTAAAACATAGTTTGCTTTTCACATTGAAAGGAAMTAGTTAAAATATTGTTTGAAAATGTGTTTTGTTCTTATAAATAAATGACAAAAAAAAAAGAATTTACCACACAATTGTATTACCTACAGCACAGTTCCACTCCAATGACACTAATGATCCTTTTTTTTTTTAGTAAAATCAAATTTTGATAAAACAYCTCTGCTATGATGTAGTTCTTATTTTCTGTCCCTGTTTCAGAGTGTGATTTCCTATTACTCTCAGCGGGGGCTGGATGAGTACTTGCGAAGCAGCATGGCTCTGGATTGGCTGGGACGGGAGCAGAGGTCCCCAGGGTTACTTGGAGCGGAGCTGCAGGTGGCGCAGAGGGAGCTGGTCCTGGCTCGACGTCGAGGCACAGAGCTGCGCTTCTACAAGGAAAAAACAGAGATCCTTAGCTTGGCTCTGAGCCAAGCATATGTTCACCACCCACCTGATGTCTTTGACCAGTCGCCAAGTTACACAAGCCAGCAAGAACAGCTTCCTTTACACATAATATACAACCAGGATGCARAGATCCACATGTCCTCTTCCTGCGGTCTTTCATCAACTCTTCATAACGACACAACACAGTGTTTTAACACAGAGTTGCCCCGTAGAAGCCCTTCACCGTGTTCACACATCTTTATGCCTTTAAATAACTTTGAATAAATTGATGAAAAGATTATAAACAAAATCATAAAATGTAGTTATAAATGTTTCCGTTTGAGATGATGTGGCAGTTGCAGAAAACAGAACATATTTGTGGTCAGTGGGTTGTAAATGTTTGAGTTTGATAATACCAGGAACGGGTTTCGACACTATAGGTGTTTAACATGTTACAATTTTTATAAAACTACATTTTTTATGAAAACAAAACCTAATAGATCTAATGTTTGTACCTTGCAACTCTAAACAAAACTGCTACAGTTCAGTTTAATCAAACCCTCAAAATGTGTTAATACTTTAAAACTAAGTTTTTCTAAGAGGAATGCTTTTGTTGTTGCTGTAATGCATTTTTTTAGCTCAGTTCTGTTGTGTTTTATGAATATATAATGTAGAGTTTGAAATTTATTAACTTTTGTCTGTTTGTTATTTAACCCTTTCTGCATTCCAGTGCTTTTCCCTTCTTGTTCACGCAGTTCCTCCATGTGTAGCTTGTAAGTTTTCTTTTATACTAAAACTCACTACATTAATGTAAGGTAATTTGTATTTTTTTAAAGTGTCTCATGTTGTTCAATGAACAGCTTATTTGAAATGCTGAGTTGTGTTACTTTTACAATAAACCAGGCATAAAAGCTAACAGTGTTCCTGTTGTCATAATTTTAAGATAAGTCGAATTTATAACTATTTACAATTAAAAATAAAAATAAATGTTCCTTCTACAACTCACCTTTGTTTTTGTATTTGAGCCGTCGCAAAAGTTTCATCTTGAGCTTGTTTTTCGTCTAATAAAATAAAACGYGTTTGTATGATGCTTTTTGGCCTCTGTCGGATCCTGTAGAGGGGTGGAGCAGTCACGTGACCAGATTGCGAGTTCTTCCTGGAACAGACAAAAACAAAACATGACAGCCGACCAGCAGACAAGGACTGTTATTACGTGACATTGGCTTCGACGGGTCCACATCGTGTTTTAATAATGTGAACAAGAATTTATAAAACATTCCAGAGCTGAAAGCCTGCGGCACGAGCGAACAGCTGAATGTTAGCATAGCTTAGCTCGCCTTGTTTGGTGGAGTTTCATCGACAACAGGAACACTGGACTGGTTTCGTTTCTTTAAAAATACATTTTCTGGAAAACATGACCACGTTAAGATATTTCACGTTGCTTTCCTGACCTAAGCTGTCAGTGAATATTCTTTCAACCTGGGGCAGTCCTTATCTTGACAGCACAGACGGGCTTCTGTTTGCTGTTTATCCAGGAAAAGAAAAACATACGATGACTTGTAGCWGATCGGTAGATTATAAGTGATCTTTTCCACGAGGAGACTCTTCGGGAGGCCGTGAACTGAGCTGATGTGATCAGGAACTTAAAATGGAGGCTGTAAGAACAAAGAAGAGCCAAGGCAAAAGCAGCRGAAAGTCTCAGGTGATTACACCAAGAACTGACCTATCATGATGTTGTTTTCCTGCTAATATCTCCCACACATAGAGATCAATAAGGGACCAGTTTTAACAAGTCTAATTGTGTCATTGGACAGGTTTTTGCATCCATCACATCTCCCTTATCAACTCCAACTTTTAAAGTAGATTTATTCAAGGAGACGGGCTTCCAGGATTTCTGAAAACCTTTTTAATTTTTTTWMYTT